CACTGTTCCCTCTGTTCCTACTGTTCCCACTGTTCCCTCTGTTCCCACTGTTCCCACTGTTACCACTGTTCCCTCTGTTCCCACTGTTCCCTCTGTTCCTACTGTTCCCACTGTTCCCTCTGTTCCCACTGTTCCCACTGTTCCCTCTGTTCCCTCTGTTACCACTGTTACCACTGTTCCCTCTGTTCCCTCTGTTCCCACTGTTCCTACTGTTCCCACTGTTCCCTCTGTTCCCTCTATTCCCACTGTTCCCTCTGTTCCCTCTGTTCCCACTGTTCCTACTGTTCCCACTGTTCCCTCTGTTACCACTGTTACCACTGTTCCCTCTGTTCCCTCTGTTCCCTCTATTCCCACTGTTCCCTCTGTTCCCTCTGTTCCCACTGTTCCTACTGTTCCCACTGTTCCCTCTGTTACCACTGTTACCACTGTTCCCTCTGTTCCCTCTGTTCCCTCTATTCCCACTGTTCCCTCTGTTCCCACTGTTCCCACTGTTCCCTCTGTTCCTACTGTTCCCACTGTTCCCTCTGTTCCCACTGTTCCCACTGTTCCCACTGTTCCCTCTGTTCCCTCTGTTACCACTGTTACAACTGTTCCCTCTGTTCCCTCTGTTCCCACTGTTCCTACTGTTCCCACTGTTCCCTCTGTTCCCTCTATTCCCACTGTTCCCTCTGTTCCCACTGTTCCCACTGTTCCCTCTGTTCCCACTGTTCCCTTTAGACAGCCAGGTTTTGCTGTCTAAAGGTCAAAGGTCTTCTCTGTATCTTAAGCCGTGTGTTTTCAGGCTCTGTCCCTGTCAAAGTAACAGGTTTGGATCTGTTTCTTCTTCTGTGGTGGACGTTAAAACGTCTCAACGATTCTTTCACCTTTAAAAGTCAAAGAGAGAAATAAATCGTCTCCCTGAAATGTCAGAGACCCGGAGAGTCGAACGTAACGTTTCGGCTTCGAGCCATTCGTCTGATTATCAGAAAAGTCCAACTCTGAAGCCGTGACCTTTGACCTACAGCACTCTGACTGGAGCGCCGGCTGTCACAGCCGCTAACGTCTGAGGCTAACCCAGCGATGAGTTCCAGCTGCATCATCGTCATGGTAACGCTGGCGTTTTCCCAGAGCCAGCTCACTCACAGCGACCTTTGACCTGAGGCAGTCGACCAAATGCTGCTCCTTCTGCCTTTCTGCACAGCGTTTCTGTGACGACGGGTGATGTTTGTGGCAATATGTGGACCATACATGATGGTCCAATGACCAATGCAATGCATCATGGGTAATGAAGTGACACCAGCTCAACAGCTGGCAGCTGTGCTCATGATGAGGCAGCCATCTTGTTTCCTATAATCAAATCGTTTTAACAATGTCAGGAAAACATTTTAAACTGAGCTTATTGTTCATATTTCTCTTGTTTTTTCTGGTTCCTGTTTTCACGTCGTCCTTCCTGGTTCCCTGCAGCTTTGGTTCCCTAATCGCCCATTAAGTCTCAAAGCAACTCTACATCAGCAAATATGTTTTATTTAATGCATATATACTAAATGAATGGACTGGCTGATGGATGTTGGTTACTAGTAGGAATCAGAGGAGATGATTAGCCTTTAAATGACGGCTCACCAGATTAAACCTAAATTATTCATAACTTTTGTCTCTGTGAGACTCTAATTATGTTAATAATGCAAAGGTGAAAAACATTTTATTTCAGCGCTGATTACTAAATACTAAGATCAGGAGGGACCTCTAAAGGTTTAGGACGTTTTTATTCATTTTCATTTGAAGGAGAGATTAAAATAATTCAGTTTCACTCCGTCTGAAACGAATCTGATCCAAACAAAGACAACAAGCTGAACCGGGTCAAAATAAAGAGCCGACTCTGTTCAGTCTGTGGGAAAATAACCCTTTCATTTTCAAAGTCATATTTTCACCATTTCATTCATTTATCAATGCCACAGTTGCAGCTAAATATTTAGTTTTGAGATTAAATCTTTATCAGGCTAAATAACCAAATTATTGCAGTTCATTGTTGACTAACAGCTGCAGGTTTCCTGTTATCACAAATATAAAGTGGTTTTTATGGAGCATTTTCATGAATTCATGACTCATCCATTCATTCATCTGCAGTGAACACATTAAGTTATTGCACTGATGCCTTGCAGGAAGGTTCCTGGTTCCTGGTTGTTGGTTTGAATCCTCTGCAGGGAGTTCTTGTTCTCCCTGTGATGGACTTTAACAGGACGATTCAGTTTCTGTGACGGTAAACTCTGTTTACTGAGTTTTATCAGAGCCGTTTGGATCAGCGGCACCGCGGCATTTTTATGTCTCCATCATGTTCAGCTCGGCTCGGTTGCCAAAGGTGCCAGAACAGAGTCAGAATCTCTTTGGTCTCCTGATCAGTCTCTGCTGCTATTTTGGTCTGGATCTCAGTCCAACATGTCAGGGAAGGAGGAAGAGAGGGGAGGAGACGGGGAGGACCGGGGAGGAGACGAGGAGGACCGGGGAGGAGACGGGGAGGACCGGGGAGGAGACGGGGAGGACCGGGGAGGAGACGGGGAGGAGACGGGGGAGGACCGGGGAGGAGACGGGGGAGGACCGGGGAGGAGACGGGGAGGACCGGGGAGGAGACGAGGAGGACCGGGGAGGAGACGGGGAGGACCGGGGAGGAGACGGGGAGGACCGGGGAGGAGACGGGGAGGACCGGGGAGGGCTACGGACGGGGCTAGCTGCGGAGCAGCGGCGGTCCTGCTGCGCCACAGGAGGGAAACTGAGGGTCGGCTTGTCTAGTCAGAATCCCACTGAGACGATTCCCTCACAGGAACATGCTAATAAAGACAGGCAATCAATATTCCTGTCAGCAGAGACACACACACACACACACACACACACACACACACACACACACACACACAGACACACACACACACACAGACACACACACACACACACACACACACACACACACAGTGTGGCTGGTTTGATCTGTTTTTTGGGTTTTTTGATTTTAGTCTCCGGATGCTTCATGTTTTCCATCCTGGTGATTCTTGTTTCTTGTTTCCCATAAAGATTCATGTTGTTTTTCCAATCATTTCTGTCTTTTAATATGGGATTTATTACACATTCATGCAGTTTCTATAAAATAATCAAACTGAAATGAATGAAAAGAAGAAAACAGAAGAAAAGTACAGAATGAGAGTAATATTAAATCATATTTTAACAACACCCTTAAGCTAGAGTTTAGAGCTGAAAGATTGACACTTTATTTTATTTCTCTGTATTTTTGTACATCTGCATTTGTACTTTTTCATCTTTGGATTTATTTATTTGATCTTTTTAAGCTGAATTTTGTGACTTGAGTGTTGATTGTGGGTGGGCTGTTCAGTGTTTGAATGTTTTCTATGTTTCATATTTTTAAAAAAACAAATTTTAATATGTCGCCATTTCCCTGGAAGGTGAATGAAAGTAGCAGAATGATGTACAGAACCAATCAGAGCCTCTGGTCCAGAATGGAGCAGGTTCTGGTTTTGGGAAACAGAGAAAACAACAAACGGTTTATTTTCACACATATCAGATCGAAACCAGCTGTCCATGTACAGCTTTATGATCTTAATGTAAAGCATTTTGGGAGCAGATATGGAGGAAGATATGGCTGCTTCCAGCAGCATCCAGCAGCAGCAACATGGCTGCTGGATGCAGCAGCAACATGGCTGCTGCTGCATCCACCAGCAGCCATGTTGTTTTTGTTAGCACTTCAGGCTAATTATTTAGCATCTCCTCAGAAAAGTACACATAAAGACACATAAAAGGAACATTTTCATCTGAATTGCAGTGGTGAGCACACTAGCATGCTAATTATTAGCCTATTGCTCTTGCTAATGTGACCGGTGGACTTCTGCGTTGTGTGTGTGGTGATCGGACGAACCACAAAGCATCAAGTCTGGGTTTGGAGGCAGTCTCCGTTTATTGATCTGTCAATCGGGAGATATTAGCATTAGCACATAGCATGTGCTCCAGTTCTCCAGCCCAATCTATACAACATAACAATGTTATAAAGGAGTAATAACTCAAATGAAAATATTCAAACACATATAATGAGCACAGATGGAAAAATAAACATTTGAAGAATATGAATGAAAGGGTTCCAATGGACCACAAAACTTGCCTCTCCCCAGTGGAACGAATGACAAAAGGGAAGAGGAAATGAATAATTTAACATTTATAACAGTCCTGGAGGACCCTGAACAAGAGAAGAAGAAAGTAAGGCGGAGCTGGAGGACCAAACCCCCCATAACAGAGACACAAGAACAGCCAGATGAAAACTGACAAATAAAGAAAACATTTTTGTGTAAATATAACTATTAATATAGACCCAGTTACACTAACTTTGAAAACATTTATTAAACTCAGAAGACTGTCCTCTACTGTAAATCATAAATGATTTCACAGATTTGATTAATTCAGTCTGCAAGCTTGACTTTGACTAGACCATCCAAACATATGTCCCATATTTGTTTTGGCGCTAAAAATGTATCTTGAGAGTAAATGTTACAGTTTCAAACTAAACATTTACTTTAAAGCTAAGTGTTTACATTGCTAACAAAATATTCATTTTAGGATGATCTTCTGAAGTTGCAGCTTTTATTTTGACAGTCCATCTATGTTCACTGGCAAGCTATTTGAATATTAGCACCATATTTAGTTAGAAAATTAAATATTTAGTTAGAGAATTAAGTATTTAGCTAGGAGCTAAATAGGTATTTAGTTTGGAGTTAATATTTTTGTATGCTAAATATTTAGCTCACTAATGAATCATTTAGTTTGAAACATTTATAACTAAATGAACAACGTGGTGAAAATAGGACTTGATGTTTATTCTCTAAACACCTGAAATTATTTCTGCTTCTTTCTGATCGTATCAGATGAAACTTTTATTTTGAAACTCTGTAAGTTTGCAGTCTCGGAGCTTTTATTCTGAAGGTTGACTCATCCAGTGTCTGTGAAGCTGCGTGCTTGACGCATCTTCATCCTCCTCCTCCTCCCAGCACCTCCGTCACGTTGCGCGGCTCCGACTCTTCTTCCACCCGGAGCCGCAGCGGGACGCAGAGCCGCGGGTTGAACCTCCAGAGAGGAGCGACATGTTCATCTGAAGGTTCGTTTCCATGGAAGAGCAGAGACCGACCCGGACAGCAGAGCGCGTCCTCAGCCGCCGCTGCGCCGCCTCGGACTGACATGTGAAGCCGGAAGGTGGATGCGAGCAGGTGGAGGAGCAGGTAAAGGTAAGAATCGGACCGGCCGCCTCCACCTGCAGCGGGACTCAGTCCGCGCATCTTCACCTGATGACACCTGGTTTCATCAGCAGCACAATTAGGCGGAGTCCCTTCATCTGGGAGGAGAGGAGAGGAGAGGAGAGGAGAGGAGAGGAGAGGAGAGGAGAGGAGAGGAGAGGAGAGGAGAGGAGAGGAGAGGAGAGGAGAGGAGAGGAGAGGAGAGGAGAGGAGAGGAGAGGAGAGGAGAGGAGAGGAGAGGAGAGGAGAGGAGAGGAGAGGAGAGGAGAGGAGAGGAGAGGAGAGGAGAGGAGAGGAGAGGAGAGGAGAGGAGAGGAGAGGAGAGGAGAGAAGAGGAGAGGAGAGGAGAGGAGAGGAGAGGTTTGTCGTCGGGCCTGGTTCTGGTTCTGGTTCTGGTTCTGGTTCTGGTTGGACATGGAGTCCAGCTGATGCTCTTCAACACTTTTTCTGTTTTATGGTTTTTTCTCTGCTGCTGGAGGTTTGATGAGCATAAAAAAAACTCCACAGGTTGGGCAGAGAGGTGTGTGTGTGTGTGTGTGTGTGTGTGTGTGTGTGTGTGTGTGTGTGTGTGTGTGTGTGTGTGTGTGTGTGTGTGTGTGTGTGTGTGTGTGTGAGCTTTTCCTTCTCATCCTGACCTCCACTACATGAAATCTAGCTGAATTATAAATGACTGCTCTCTGTTCTCTCTGTAAATGTTTCTTCCTGATGGAAAATCCTCCTGAGATTCGAGGCGATGAAGCGACTCGGGTCGTCGAGTTCGGATCTTTTTGAGACTTGAACCGAGTCGACAAGTTCTTTTGTTTCTGTGTGTCGATCTGATGGTCGGAGGAGGAGGCCGCCAAACAGTGTGTGTGTGTGTGTGTGTGTGTGTGTGTGTGTGTGTGTGTGTGTGTGTGTGTGTGTGTGAGAGGTGTTTCCATAGCAACCTGTCAGGGGCGTGTTTGGTCCCTGGAGGAAAGAAGCAGAGAGAGAAAAGATGAGAGGCGAGGAGAAAAGAGAGAAAGACAGAAAGTTCCCCTCATTTGGGTTACCATCCCCACCCCGGTACCAGATTAGCTGCATCCAGAACCGACCCAATATGTGGTTTCTGGATTTCAGGATGAAATCCAGAAAAATTTAAGAACTTTCAGTTCTGCTCGGTTCGGTTCTGCTCGGTTCGGTTCTGCTCGGTTCGGTTCTGCTCGGTTCGGTTCTGCTCGGTTCGGTTCTGCTCGGTTCGGTTCTGTGGTACCAGCTGGATCAGAGCAGACAGGACAGCAGCTGACTCCAGAGGAAGCGGCTCAGCAACAAGTGGCACCAGAAGGAGGATTTTATTTTATTTGTTTTATTGATCCAGAGATAAAAGCAAAGCTGCTACTGTATAAGAACCGGTCCAGGTTCTGGTTCTGGTCGTGTTGCTTCTGGCGGAGCGTTTGATTCACCAAAGTGACAAATAAAAACTCTTTACATCATTTTCTATAATCATATTAATACCAGGCTGTCTATTCATATTGAGAATCAATAATCTGATCAAAGTTTACACTGGAGGAAAAATCAGAATAAATGGATTCATCCACCACTACGGCAACACCACCGGGCCAAAACTGTGACTCATCACAGCACGTGGTGGGGAGGTTTCTGCTCGGCCTGGACTGTTAAAGCATTCAAATAATATTTCCTTGTTGTCGGCCAACAGCTTGAGATTTTAATTTATCAGCAAACTGAACTCAGACTGAGTTCAGTTTGAAATTATGTTTTAGTTTTTCATTCTTTTCTTTTTATTCCTAATTTTTAAAAGAGAAAAATGGTGGAGGAGTTTAATTTGCTCCATAAAGAGGAAACCTGAACCTTTTCTTCATAAAAGGAGGAAATGAGGAGGAAGTGGTGACCTCTGGCAGAGAAAAGGTCAAGCGGTGGCAGCATCATGCTGTGCAGACAGAAGCTGATCTTATCTGATCGGTTCACTCAGTTTCTTTCTTTGGATTATGATCCTACATGGTGCAGCCAGGATTTGACTAGACTGGATGTTTGATCACACATGGAAACTTTAATTACCTTGGAATTCTGCAGCATCAGTAATGAGTAAAATAACATTCATGTGGCTGAATTGACCAGGATTTTAGTGTAAAATTTTAGAAACGTTTTTGTTTCTGCAGCAGAGTTTTAATAACCTGGAAAGAGAAGAGCAAAAACATAACTCCATATTTCTTTGCAAAGCCATAAGTCAAACCACAGAGGGAATAATTAAGAGTTTAATCTTTCCTCACCTTCTTATTGCAGCTTTATGAGCAGAAATGATTCACATTATTTTCATTTAAAGACAGAAAATCATTTTCTCAGTGAAACAACAGGCGGTCAGCTAGGAGGATATTATTTCCATTTTATTTATTTGATTTAAACACTTAGCTTCAGTAGAAAAACAGAGGAAAGATAATTTAACCTAAATCCATCAGGGTGTGAATACTTTTAGTTGTTGGCTCTTCGGCTCTTTTAGACGTTTAACTTTAAATCTGAACTTTAGAACAAAAAACATCAGAAACAGATTCAGCTCATTTTCATAAAAAGGTTTCTTTTTATTCATTAAGAAATACATTTTGATGTCATATAAATGTCACTAAGTCCAGTCAGAAGACGATCAAACACCAACATCAGTGATTGGAGTTTAATCTGGATTATTTCAGGATTAATAATAAACAATGTTAAACATCTGAATTTGATCTGCAGTCAGATGAGAGAAACGCTCAGCTGTACAGCACAGTGGTGGAAGCATTACTAAGAATTATTTTATCATTAAATGTAGCTTTGCATTTAATCATACCTAATTTATCCAGATCCAGGCTCCGCCCCTTGATCTCCAGGCTCCGCCCCTTGATCTCCAGGCTCCGCCCCTTGATCTCCAGGCTCCGCCCCTTGATCTCCAGGCTCCGCCCCTTGATCTCCAGGCTCCGCCCCTTGATCTCCTGGCTCCGCCCCTTGATCTCCAGGCTCCGCCCCTTGATCTCCAGGCTCCGCCCCTTGATCTCCTGGCTCCGCCCCTTGATCTCCTGGCTCCGCCCTTTGATCTCCTGGCTCCGCCCCTTGATCTCCTGGCTCCACCCCCTGATCTCCTGGCTCCGCCCCTTGATCTCCAGGCTCCGCCCCTTGATCTCCAGGCTCCGCCCCTTGATCTCCAGGCTCCGCCTCTTGATCTCCTTTTATTGTCTAAGTTTGAATGAGGAAAGATGGCGGTGGCGCCATCAGCCGCCAGTTCCACCGGCCCGCGGCTTTATGACATAAGAAGAGAAACGTTCATTTACTGCATACTGATTAGAAAGACGAGGAATATGGCGTCATGACTGCTGGTAACCATGGAGACCTTCATGTAGCCTAGCATGTATGGAAACCGCCTGTTAGCATCTCAGGCTGTTTATGACGGTGAATCATGAATAAATAAATCATTTCAGGACGGGTCGGTTCTGAATCAGACCAGAACCACGAGGAGCCAACAAACTGGCAAAACCGCTTCAGTCTCGTTCATCCCTGCGTCCAACATGGCGGCTGCAGCGTCCAACATGGCGGCTGCAGCGTCCAACATGGCGGCTGCAGCGTCCAACATGGCGGCTGCAGCGTCCAACATGGCGGCTGCAGCGTCCAACATGGCGGCTGCAGCGTCCAACATGGCGGCTGCAGCGTCCAACATGGCGGCTGCAGCGTCCAACATGGCGGCTGCAGCGTCCAACATGGCGGCTGCAGCGTCCAACATGGCGGCTGCAGCGTCCAACATGGCGGCTGAAGACAAACTAAAGTCAGGGGATGTTTTGCTCTCATATTCAGCATCTTTTCTGAGCAAACTGAACTTCTGTCAAACCTTCTGTTTTTAAATATGAAGGACATGTTGCAAATTAAATAAATAGTATAAACTCCAGCTTGTTTTCCTGGGGTCAGCCAGCAGGGGGCGCCTGGTGGCTGACAGGTGTACAGGTGGGTGCAGGTTGGACAGGTGTGTCAGTAGAAACCTGAGTTTTGGGTTTGGTTTGTGGTCAATTATTTTAGCTGCTGTGTTTGGAATCATTCATATTGGTTACAAAATATTACTTTACTGTAAGCAATGCTGATAAAATAGTTCATTTAATTTGATCTTTAGTTTTAGAAAACTTTGTGATCGAGTTTAATGGAAAAGTGTTCTTGGTGGAAATAAAACTTAGTTTATTTCTGAGAGTAAAATAGATTTAAAAAAAATGGACTGAAGTTGATAATTAGAGCTAAACTCTTCAGTTTCTAACATTTCATCGACTAAAATGTTTTATAGTAAATACCTCGTTGAATTACAGAAATATTGTAAATATTGATGCGGTAAATGAAGATAAAGTCAAATGTTTGATGCTTAAAATGGTTAATTTATTGATTATGTTACAGTACAGAAGCTGACAAACATGTATGGATTAGAAAATATCTTCAATTATAATGAATTAAAAACAATATATTTTATAAGTTATCCAACCTGCTGCTGAATCTTTGAGTTGAATTCATAAAGATTTGAGCTTTAGGGTTAGAAACGCTGCCGGCTGCCCGCAGCGTTGGCTCCTCTGATGACCGAAATAATAAAACCGTTTTTGTTCTGCTGGATTTGATGAACACAATCGTTCCCAGTTCAGCTGCGGCATCGACCCAGCAGCCGTCTCACGTCTCTATGTGACGATGTGATGATGTCACAGGAGACGATGGGGACCGCTCTCCACGCAGGAAGCTGAGCTGGTTCTACTGGCCTGGTTGGGTTTTATTCCAGTATGAAGTTCATTACAGATCAATCTGTCAAAACGAGCAGAAGTGGCTCCTGGTTGCCATGGTGACATACAGGAAGCACCTGAAGAGGGAAAGTCAAAGCCTTTGAAGTGACGACAGGAAACGCGCTGAGCTTCCAGCGCTGGAACCTGGTCCCACCAGAACCAGAACCTGGTCACCAGAACCAGAACCTGGTCCCACCAGAACCAGAACCTGGTCCCACCAGAACCAGAACCTGGTCCCACCAGAAC